ATATATTTTGCTACTTTTTGCCTTGGTGTCACCCCCCTAAATGGTGTCACCCGGTGCGGTCCGCACCCCCCGCCCCCCCCCCCCTCGCTACGCCCCTGATATAGCCTACTATGCCATCAACCTCTCAAGGTTCTAGTGAGGCTTCAATCACAGACAATTCTTAGTTCATACACATATTTTCGTTAAAAAAACCCAGAGTACTTAATGCATTCACACATTTTTTGTTTAAAAAACCCTGAATACTTAGTGCATACACTTATTTTTTTGTTAAAAAAACAACAAAATACTTAATGCATACACATATTTTTTTTTGTTAAAACCCCCCAGAACGAGTCAATTTAAGATACATGTAAGCATATCTATTTTTAAACCGACCTAAACATAACCCTAACCACATACTGATCCATGCCTAAAGAATGTTAACGTGCTAATATTAACCTTGTCAGCCATAAGAGTAATTGGATATCAAGATAAAATTACACTGTAGGTTCGTTTTTTGTATACATACCACGCATTTTTAATTAGTCTAATTAGTAGTGTCATCTAATAACGGAAATCTGACCCACTATCAAATTACACGCTGTAGAGTTCTATAACTGAAACCCCCATAGAAAACACACCTCTCTACTTGTTCATTATCATTAACAAAAGGACAGATGAAGTTCACCTGTGTGCTCAGAATATTAAAGGACAGTCTGGTCAATTTTATTTCCAGACCGTCTTTACTTTCCCTAATGTGAGTCGGGTACCCATTAGTGCTAGATGGACTCAAGTACGCTTAATGGACTTGAGTTGGTTGTAGCTAATCGATAAAAAAAAACAGTGAGGGCGAATGGGATGTCTAACACACCAGCCTGACACAGATAATTATCGATGAGGACAAATGGCGCATTCTTATCTGATTCAACGTCAAAGGATCGTGTGTAAATAACGTCACGCACCTGGGAGGTGGGGGGGGGGGGGGGGGGGGGGGGCGCGGGGGAGGTCTGGTTGGTTTTTTTTTTAACAGTGAGCTACATGGATAGGGGTGGTAGTAGAACAACGGGGAGTTAAGAAATTCTTAGTTTTGAAGTAGAGAAAAAAATATGATGTTAGAGGGTGTGTGTTGGGGAAGAGGATAGGGGGCCTTGAACTTGACAACATTATATCAGGGGCGATGTATTGTATTTGCTTATTATAATCTGTGGAGAATGGGAAGTAAAATTGTGGCTAAAATTTCGCGACGTCATTTATAGACGACACCTAAGCATATATTTATTCTGACTTACCCTCCCCTCCCCACCCCCAACAATTATGTCAATTAATCATGTGATCAGTTGCCTAGCTACAAACGTCCCGGACTCTGATTTTGCCGCTCATGATATTTTTTTCACTATTGCCTACACGGATGTTGAACAGCTTGACAATAGCGAATGGCTGACAAGTTTTTATAAGGAGTTTCTGTGGCTTTGACGTCATCTTAGGTCACATGTGTATGCTATACAGTGACCTTAGCTTGCAGTATTGTTACCTTAATGCATTTGGTACAAATGACATTGAAGTGCGCAACTGTGTACTGTATGTGTAGTAGTGATCTTGATGTGTCGAACAGCAATATCCATGTTAGGTAGATTGACCTTGAACATCGACCTTGAATTGTGGAACAGCAAAATAAGTATGAGGTAGATTGACCTTGAAATGTTGTACATTGACCTTGACGTGTCGAACAACAGTCTTCGTGTGAGGCAAATTGACCTTGAAATGTACATTGACCTTAACGTGTCGAACAGCAATATAGGTGTGGTATATTGACCTTGAAGTTTTGTACAATGATCTTGACGATCTTTGACCACAGGTGCTTTGACCATAGGGGGTTTGACCATAGGGGGTTTGACCACAGCGGAGCTTTGACCATAGGGGCTTTGACCATAGGGGGTTTGACCACAGCGGGGCTTTGACCATAGGGGGTTTGATCATAGGGGGGTTTGACCATAGAGGGTTTGACCACAGGTGTTTTCTCAGCAGAGGGTCTTTGATCACAGGTGGTCTATCAACTGGTGTTTGATTACAAGCGCTGTGTCCGGCTTTGATCATAGGTGTTTTGTCCACATAGGGTCTTTGATCTCAGGTGTTTTGTCCACATAGGGTCTTTGATCTCAGGTGGTTTGTCCAATGCTGTCCATATATGGTAAGGATTTATTTTAAAAGTTGCTAAATTATATTTTAAATTTCGACATGATGTAATAATATGGTCAAACTGATGTACTGACATATTTGCGTGCTATTTTTTTTGAAAAATCGTAATTATACGAAAATTTGATTCAGATTTTATGTATTACATCTTTGACTATATTGTTGGCAAGTTTTGTATCATTTTTTATCCTTTATATATGCTATGTATTTTCAAGTACATCTACATTATTTATTTGTGAAACTTGTTATATGTCGCATTATTTGTGTTTCATTTATATTTAAAATAAATCTATGAGGTCTAGCACCAGCCTTTATGTGGAGACTAAAATACAGTTCTTGGCTTTTTTAAATACATGTTAATTTCTATTAACGTACTCTCAGGAAACATGTATAAAATCGTGTTAATTGTATCACACCTATGATCAAAGCCGGACACAGCGCTTGTGATCAAACACCCGTTGATAGACCACCTGTGATCAAAGACCCTCTGCTGAGAAAACACCTGTGGTCAAACCCCCTATGGTCAAACCCCCTATGGTCAAAGCACCGCTATGGTCAAAGGCCCGCTGTGGTCAATCCCCCTATGGTCAAAGCCCCTATGGTCAAAGCTCCGCTGTGGTCAAACCCCCTATGGTCAAACCCCCTATGGTCAAAGCACCTGTGGTCAAAGGTCCGCGCACCCAATATACGTGTGGGGTACATTGGCCTTGAGGTGTTATACATCGACCTTGACCAAACACAATAACCATTATGTGTAGTACAGTGTGTAGCTCTATTGGGGTAAGCAAATAGTTGTTTCTGTGCGGGCCAGAATAAACCTTCTACCCCTATTCAACCTTAACCGACTTTAGAGTGGGTAATTCCAAATTTTAAACGTACACAGGTAAAATTTCTAAGAATTTTTTTCCCCGGATGTTTAATTAAGACCGGTTTTATTTCATTTTAAAAATATATACAACCCCACTTTAAAAAACGAGATTTTTTCCCCTCTAAAACTTGACTCTACCCCCCCCCCCCTTACACACATACCTGAGCTATTATTATGCGTCCATTCAGCACAATGCAAGCGAAACGCGTATGGAAATCCCATGTGATGTAACAGTATCCTAGCTGGTAGCTGGTTTTTTTCATGCAGCGATGCAGAGCGAAATATTACCTGTGATTTGGGGTGAGACCACTGGTGCTTGCAACATTACAGGTTCTGGTGACTTGGTTTTCTGTCCTCGGCATCACAAGGTGACTGAGCATGATTAGGAGTTAGCCTTTTTTTTTCTTTTGCGTGTACTAAAGGCGATTTACAATTTTCGACGTAATGGTTACTTTCAAACAAAACACTGACCCTCAAGGAGGCCTGCTTGGTGTATGCGTAATACCAGTATGAAATAATTAATAATGGAATCTTCTTAAAAAGGGGTGTTAGGATTACTGATATTTAACTAAATAAAAATATGACTAGCTAATCTCAATACCAACCCTAACCCAAATCCCAACCTAAATCCTACCAAACCCCTAACCCTAATTTCTGACAATAACATAAAAAATGTTGAGATTACAATACTACTAACAACCTAACACACCTATTTTCCGAAGAATCTAGCATCGGTCAATAATCCTTAATGGCTTACACATTAGAAAATATCACAGGCCTCACTTGGCTATATTTTTTCTGCACTAGCTGTGTTGTAACATACTTAAAAAAAACAACAATTACGAATTAATACACCGTCTAATTTTTTCCCTCATGTTAACTACGTCATGCAATTTTGAGAAACATTCATATCTCGACATCTGACACCGTCTTTTCATCTTATTTGCATACTTAGCTCTGCTTAGAAAGCCATGGACATTACGATGTCTGTATGAGTAAAAATACACACAAGGCCAGAAGTCTTTTGTTTGAGTGCGAGATTAGATTTACCCAAGTTAGGGAAGGTACCGATTAGAGCTGAGCACTGACGGGCGACCTACTCGCAGACTTCAGACGAAGATGTACTGACCATTTATCACGACCGAAGAATCATAGAATTGCATCCTTTCCGCAGCATCGGTTCCAGTTTCTTCCAGACTTTTAATTTATGATAGGGACCCTTGTAATTTTTTTTTTGGGGGGGGGGGGGGGGGGTGGCAAAGAGATGCATGGAAGAAACACTGATCGGTTCTCTGGTCCGCGATTGTTCATTACAAAATATGCTGGTAACAAGCTGTACATTTAACCTAGTATTTAAAATAAGATAAGTAACACATAGGGCCTATATAAAGACAGTTTCTTTCAGACATTTCCCCAGCGGGGTGCTGCCCTCCCTCACCCCTGAGTAAGTATACATCTCAAACATAACCCCAAAAAAATGTCTGACTCGGTATTGTGATAAGACCAAACTAAAAAAAAATTAACTGGAGTTGACGGTTTAATTTTAAAAGTCGCTTTGCAAGTTTAATTACTTAGTTTAGCAGCGTGTAGGTGTGTTATATCAAAATATGTAAAAATATATTTTGCCAATTTCGGTTATTACACCAACATACAATCCCCCCCCTCCTCCCCCCACCCCCCCCCCCCCCCCCCCCCCCCAAAAAAAAAAAAAACAGAAAAAAACTGAACCACACGCTTTACCTGAGTCTCCCCCCCCCCCCCCCCCCCCCCCCACCTGCTCTGATCAATAAAACACCGTAGATGCAAACCGCGCAGGACTGGATCGCAGCTGTTGAGTAGTGAGGCTGGGTTACTATGGAGTTGGTGTCAACACACCGCTGGCGACATCTGTCGGGGCGGTGTACTCGCCGCGCGTGGAGAAATCTATCGGTGTCGAAATAAGCCTGAGTAAGTTTTCATATGACGTCATTGGAATGCTGTTTGCTGGTCGCATTCATTGAAGGAACGACCGGTCATGTGATTTTGTATTGAACTGCCAATTGCTGGTTATTCTCCAGTTCGTGTTCATTTATATTTGTTATTCTTATTAGTCGCTTATATTGTACATCATAATTCAGTTTTAGATAAATGCTACAATACGAATTACGTACAGTGTGCTTTTTGTACTGATTCTTTAACACCAAGGACTTATTAGTTACTTTTCAAAGACGTATGAATTAAATTGATTGACTGGTTAGCAATTATTTTATTATTTAGCCTTGAATTAACCATTGCGCTACCTAATCAATGTGTGTAGAATTGATTCAATTAATTATTTAATAATATTTGTGTCTTTCAATGTGGAATTTAAAAGTGTAGCAGTGAGTTTGTAAGTCGTCTTTCTTTGATAATTCAGAAAGTTCCTTATTAGTGTGTAAATTTAAGTTACACTCGTAAAAGCGCGATTAATCCTCATAAGGCAGGCATATAACCCGATATAGATTCTAGCCTACTTAAGGCTTAAGGCTAAGGCCGAGGCCTCTACCCCACAATTGATATGACAATTTCCATTTAATAGATTGATTGTCCAAATGTAGGATTACATGCTTAGATCTATATTAAAAATTATTATAAGCTAATACAATCTGGCATATGTGCCCAAAAATGCTTTACATCTATACTAGTCTATAGGCTGACACTTGTTAGAATTTTTGCTTACACGAAGAATATAAGTGCACTTTTGGCTCAGGATATTTGCTGTGTAGCATACAGGTTTTTAAAACGCAGCCTTATTTCTAAACTCCATGATTGTCAATTTTGTTGGGAAATCTTGAGTATATGCCAGTTAGTACTAATCAAAATATAATCTTGTAGGCATAGCTTTTACTTTTTAGATGTAGGTATTAATATAATCGTATTACTATTTATTTAGTGTAAGAAGATTATGAATTTATATTGCATAGCCGGGAAAATCGTTGTTGAAACCTTTAGTTGGCCTACTTTTTATTTTTAAACTCTGGTTATTCCTGTATTTTTAAAATTGGAAAATAGGAATACCGTTGTTTCTTATTTACACACAAATTAGTCCACTCATCATGTAGACTAGTTATGTAATGTACCAGGCTATACATTTACTATACAAACAATTAGATCTACAGTTCTAGATTTATCTTTGTTAATATAAAAAATAAAATGTATAGGTAGGCCTATGTTATATACTATATGGAATCTATATAGATCTATATTTAATTTATAAGTATAGTTAAGTATAGGCCTAAGTTTTACCTTTTCTTTTTTCAGGCAACATCACCAAGTTAAACTAAACTTTTAGAAAATTTAAATGGAATTGGGTCTAGACTAATTTCTAATAAAGTATTAAGATTAATTAATAAAGAATAAATAAAAGAAAAACCTGACAAATATGACAATTAAAAAATTGTGTTTTTTGCTGAGCTGAGTTTTGAAGAAACAAAAAAGAATGTATCAAAGCCTTTTGGCTTACCTGATTCTTGCAACACTAAGTTACCCAGGTGTGTTATCAGAACAACAGTGTTACATCAACAAAGACAGCTATGAACCCAATGCTCAGGTAGGCTAATTAGTAATCAAACCTCTCAGTTAATTAATGTAGAGGGCTCTCTGTCTTATTTTTTTAGTTTATATTTTAATTTATTGTTGGATTTGTTGTTTAATTAAAATTATATTTTTACAGGTGCGATTTGCTTTTATGTCATCCTTGCGCAAAAGTGAACCAAATACAGGTGAGTTTTTACTCATATTATGTAACATGATAGGGACAGTATGCTAACATGAAAGTCTTGAGCTCAGATCCCTAGCTCTAATCCTAATCTGTCCCTGGGTTCACCCAACTTTGATGGGTACCACCTAACTCAGTGAGGTTAGGGAAAGGAAAGTAAAGGAAGCTGGGTATTGTGCTGATCACACTATCCCTTCATTAGCAGAGGTCAGCAAACAGAGTTTCTTCCAGGCATCTCTTTGGGGGGTGGGGGGGGGGGGTGGGGTGGGGGATCCCCCTGAAGAAAGTCTACTGCCCCCCCCCCTCCCCGAATGAAATAAAAGTTATATAGAAAATATATACTTTTAACAGTGTCCAGCCCCCCCAAGAAAGTCTACCCCCCCCCTGAAAATTTCAAGTGCCGCCCCCCCCCCCGAGAAAAAAGTCTGGAAGAAACACTGTCAGCAAAACAAGTGAACTTTACTTCACCTGCCCCATGAATAAAAAAGGACCTTTACTTATGTAGCTTGATACCCTCTCACTATGTGTTATAAATTATTTATCCTATGGGAACTTAAAACTAGACTGATGATTGTTGTATAATTTGTACAGTGCATTCACACTTACTCTGGTGAAGTACACACCTCTCTATAGACCATACTGGCTTGGAGGCGGGATGCTAATATATTGGTTTGCAATTCGTGTAGGGACCAACTATATTATGCCAAATATTCTAAACAACTAAGTCAGTAGTTCTAAACCTTTTTGAAGGTACCAAACCCCACCAGCTTCAAATGCGCATTCACTGAACCCTTCTTAAAAAACATGATTTTTTTCAAATTCAAAACATAGGTATAGTATATATTTTGCTGGTGCATAATTGTATAGAAAATCCTATCACAAATTATATGTCAGGTGTGTGTCTTAACCTCAGCGGAACCCCTGAGGTTAGGTCAAACCCAGGTTAAGAACTACTGATCTAAGTGCTATACCCTAACACAAGTATCTTATTAACATGTTACCTCATAAGATATATATATCAATCGTATATCAGTATAGTTTTAGTTGTCATGTTTTTTAAAAATTGTCTCTGTTTTCTTTTTAAACTCCAGCACAAAGTAGTCTATGCACACTGATTAGTAAAGAAATGCTCCAGAACTACTTGGCCGCAGAATGGGTCGTTGAAAAGTTAAATCTGGCAAATAATGGAACAGGATATATACGTGGAGTCAAAATTGGTAATTGGTTTTATTATGTAAAATTTTAAATTATGTTATTCTTGTTTCATTTTTTTATAAAATTCATTAGTTTTATTTAAAAACAGGAAAGTATAAAATCTTTGTGGTTAGGATCTTTTAGGGAAAATGTGATCTGATGTGTTTGTGAGTTTGTTATTTATATTTTGAGAATCATAATAACCTAATAATACTAATAGTTAATACTATTTAATTAATTGTGAGAAATTTTCAACTCTATAATTCTGTTTCTACCATAACCAAAAAAATTATTCATTATTGCATGTTGAAAACTGCAGAAAATTTAGCTTAATAACTAAACCTGAACAAATTCCCTATAATAGTATAATTCACTATACAGAATATTTTAAAATACTTAAGATTTTATCTTTCACTTTTCAATTTGCTTAAGATTAAACAGCAAACAGATGTTACTCAACAGCAGCTTAAATGTGCATATTTTGTTTTCAAAGCAATCTTTTATTGACGACTCAGTTGGGAATAAAATCAATACTGACTGTAGTGTAACTATACATTTGTGCTACCTGTGTACTAGATTTACAAACACATCGGCCTATTTGCATGTCTTCATATCTTATTATGCTGATCCTACTTAATTAACAGTTTGGGAAGAGTTAAACATGTCTCACTGCTTTAATTATAGCGTAGCAACTGATTTATAAATACAAAAAGTTTTGTTTAAATCTTAGTTTTTTTTAAGCGTAGTAGAAAGGTAAATATCAGTACAATAGGGATAATTTTAGATATAGGTTTTTGGTTTAATAAAAAAAAAAAAATATAATATGAAAAAAAAAATGAATTTTTATTTTTTTTAAGTATTGTCTGTTTAGTTATTTTATTTACTGAAAGATAGTGAAACTGATTTTCAATTTCAATTCAGCCATACATTTTAAATATAGTTCCTTTATGTTATGTAACAGCCTTGTACTAAACTATTAAATGTGGCACTAAACAGTGCCACTGTCTTATTTTACAATAGTTTACTTTTTATATAGATCTATATCATAGGATTTTATAACAAGTTGTTTATCATGTGTTTGTTTCACAGGTTTTGACAGCTTTGATGACTGTAGGTCCCCAGTGTATGCATCAAGAAACGCCTTATCTTTTGTGGATGGGTGGGTACCCACCACTATGAAAAGCTGCACTGGTCAGCCTACTGATAGCCTGAATATAGGTAAGGGAGAGTTCATTTAGATGGTAGGTGGTCAACTGGTGAGGGGTAGTTGGTATTGATGGTAGGTGTTGAATAGATAAGGGATTGATGTTATGTGTTGAATAGATAAGGGATTGATGTTATGTGTTGAATAGATAAGGGATTGATGTTATGTGTTGAATAGATAAGGGATTGATGTTATGTGTTGAATAGATAAGGGACTGATGTTATGTGTTGAATAGATAAGGGATTGATGTTATGTGTTGAATAGATAAGGGATTGATGTTATGTGTTGAAAAGATAAGGGATTGATGTTATGTGTTGAATAGATAAGGGATCGATGTTAGGTGTTGAATAGATAAGGGATTGATGTTATGTGTTGAATAGATAAGGGATTGATGTTATGTGCTGAATAGATAAGGGATTGATGTTATGTGTTGAATAGATAAGGGATTGATGTTATGTGTTGAATAGATAAGGGATTGATGTTATGTGTTGAATAGATAAGGGATTGATGTTATGTGTTGAATAGATAAGGGATTGATGTTATGTGTTGAATAGATAAGGGATTGATGTTATGTGTTGAATAGATAAGGGATTGATGTTATGCGTTGAATAGATAAGGGATTGATGTTATGCGTTGAATAGATAAGGGATTGATGTTATGTGTTGAATAGATAAGGGATTGATGTTATGTGTTGAATAGATAAAGGATTGATGTTATGTGTTGAATAGATAAGGGATTGATGTTATGTGTTGAATAGATAAGGGATTGATGTTATGTGTTGAATAGATAAGGGATTGATGTTATGTGTTGAATAGATAAGGGATTGATGTTATGTGTTGAATAGATAAGGGATTGATGTTAGGTGTTGAATAGATAAGGGATTGATGTTATGCGTTGAATAGATAAGGAATTGATGTTAGGTGTTGAATAGATAAGGGATTGATGGTAGTTGTTGAATAGATAAGGGATTGATGTTATGTGTGGAATAGATAAGGGATTGATGTTATGTGTTGAATAGATAAGAGATTTATGGTAGGTGTTGAATGGATAAGGGATAGTAAACATTAGTGGTAGGCATTAGATATGGGATTGATGGTAGTTGTTGAATAGATAAGGGGTAGTCAGTATTGATGGTAGAAGTTGAATTATTGAGGGATAGTTTGCATTTTTGATAGGCATTCAATAAACAATCTGTAAATGGCATTGATGTTAAGTGTTCAAATGACAAACCTTATTGAATAGATAAATAATCCATGTGAAATGCAGAAATATGAGACATTTATATGGTATTGCAATTAATATTATTAAACATTACATTCTCTGTATGCTGTTAAAAAATGTTAATATTGTGTTTATGAACTTTTGATAGGTATAGTTGGCCCTTCACGGACATCCACTGCTACAAGAGTGGCTTCCTTAATGAGGGACATGCAAGTCCCTATCGTTAGTTTTGCTGCCACCAGAGCTGAGCTGAGCAACATGACAGAATACCCAACCTTTTTACGCACAGTCCCATCAGATGTACATCAGATGGCGGTAAGTTAATGTAACTACAAGCTAGGATATTTTTTTAAAGTGTGTATATACATGTATATATACACATATATAAATAAATTTATATATAAAAGTATCTACCGTAATTCATCTATGTAACTTGTAAGTGATAGTAACTTTACAAGAAATTTAAAGAATTTTTGTGAACTTATTATCCAATGTATACAGACAAAACTATACTGCTGATATTTAGAAAAGTAAAGAAGTGAAGTTCCTATTTTGAACCTGTTTATATTTTATATTTTTTTAACAGATTAATTGGTCCTTAAAACTGTTATCAGTATTTATTATTTCTGTAAATATTTCTAATAACAATTCCTGATTTCAGCTTATAGCTAGTATTGCAAAGGAGTTCTATTGGTCATACCTTGCTATCTACTATGTAAACGACGAGTATGGGACATCAGCATCCAACATTCTGATCAAAGAGGCGGAGAAGAGGGGGATTTGTATAGCCAAAATTGTCCAGTTCAACAGTGGGAGCAGTCCTAGTGCTGACATAGGACGGGACTTTAATGAACTCATTCAGGTAATGGTAACCAGGGGTGTAGCGAGGGGGGGGGGAGGCGGGGGGTGCGGACCGCACCGGGTGACACCATTTAGGGGGGTGACACCAAGGCAAAAAATAGCAAAATATATTATAGAAAAACTTGAGGGGGGGTGCAAATTGAAAACTTGAAAGTTTGTCCCCAGGAAGGGTCGCTATGCGTCTGGGGGGTGACACCATTAAGTGCCACACCGGGTGACACCCGACCTCGCTATGCCACTGATGGTAACATGTATATAGTGAAAGTTCCTTTTTAAACCTGATAGTCCATGGGGCAAGTGAAGTAGAGTTCACCTTGTGACGTAGATGCTCATAATGAAAGTGTGTAGACACTGTGAGATTGTGTGTGAGAGTGGCCTCCCTTTGAAAGTGGTGTGCAAGCGTGGAAAGAAGTGTGTGAACAGTAGTGTGTGTAGCGTCAACTCAGTGTAGCTAGTCGTCAGTTTTTTCTTGTGTCAATGCTTCTTCTTGTAGTTGATGAAAATTATACTTCAATGTTACAAATTCACTTTGTGGATTGTGTTCTTTATTACTGTTACACCTGGCCAAATGAGCCAAAAATAATTAGAAAGCCGAGTGTAACAACTTGTTTCTGACCTCGGCATATGAAGTTAGGTTAGCACTATGCCCAAACGCCATTACTTTCTCTAATGAAAAACGTTCTAGTGACTTGAACCTGGATTTGAACTTGAAACTGGATTTGAACTTTAAACTTTCGGGTTAGCAGTCTAGTGCTCTACCACTAAGCTTTGCTGTCCCTCATGTACATAAGAATGGGAATTAATTAAATCCAGGTAATGGCATCATGTACATAGCATATATGCTGTCAGATATTTCAATCTTTAACTCAAGTTTTAAGATTTTAATCAGCAAGAATAGTTGTCTGAACTGGGGGATTACACTAGCAATACCTATAAAATATATTTACTTTATGATACTACCAGATATCAAAGATGTACCTATTATATTTTAGACTTGTAGTTATACCAACATGTATTTTATAATCCTGCTAAAAGTACCTATTTTGAGCTACACTTATCTCAAAAGGAACAAAAATTATAAAATAAAAACTTAGTTTGTAAATAATTATTGATCTTGCATAAAATTTGATTAAAATTTTTTTTTTTAAATTTCGTTTAAGATATAAAAAAAATTAAGTTTAAAATTTAAAGGACAATGTAAGTTTCTTACGATCAACCAATTTTATTTTTGCTTCAACAGAAAGCCAAAGATGAATCTTTAGGATTAGTTTTTATAGGTGGGAAAGACGACGCTGAGCAGTTCCTGTGGAACATTGATAAAAAAATGGGCTCATCCAAGTACGGATTACACATCATTTTGTCAGACGCATCAAACACTGACACAGAGATTTACAAAAATAAAGAAATAGGGTTTGGGACTCTTGCAGTTGGCATGTCAAATCTTTTTATGCAAGATATTTATACGGATATAACAAACAAAATCACGTAAGTGGGTGTTTTGTACATACAAAAATATACTTTTTGTATTTTATATACATTGATATATATATATATATATATATATATATATATATATATATATATATATATATATATATATATATATATTTTTTTTTTTTTTTTTACGTTTTATACATTTATGTATAAATATTTACATTTTATTTTCAACATAAATCTTAAAATGAGTTTAATTGTTCTAAATAAAATGTACAAGGATTTTCTGTGAACATTTTTAGGAGAGTGAAGAACAAGCAAGAGAAACACAAGCTGATTGAGGAGTATATCCAACAGTACTCTTCTGCTGATATCTTTGAACCCAATTCACACAGCACATTCTTGCCTTCAACTGTCCATGCTATATTTGCCATGGTCGAGGCTTTCAGAAACAAGTTTGATGAGCTGTGCTCTGTGGAGAAAACAGTTTGTGTCAAATTGGTAAGTTATAAGAAACACTTTTCTTACCATTTTAGTTTTAAGGAATTTTTTGGATACTTACACACCTGCAGAGAGTAAATTTACCCTTTTGGAGATGGTGATCCTTGGGGCTGATGAAGTAGAGTTCCCCTGTTTTTGTAACCTAGGCATATGAAGGTAGAGTATGGTCAGTGCTATACCCATTTGCCTTTACTTCCCCTAATGAGAGTCCAGTACCCATTAGAGGTGTGTAGAGTTAGGGACACCCTACGGACTCAACCCAGGGATCAGAACTTGAAACTTTTGGGTTAGCAGTCATGTGCTCTCTGACCACTGCTTCCCTTACCCATTTATATAAATACTTTTTTTAAATTTGAACCATATCCCTTTGATAAAAATATCTAAACCATCCTATGAAATTTTATTCTTTGTGGATTTTTTGACTGGTACAGAACATGTCAACTATGTCTCAATTTTGATTCCTGTGTTTGAGCTATTAGATTGATGTCTTTCAGTCCATTCAGCTCATATTGATACTTGACTCTAGTTGAGGAAAGTAATGGTAGCTCTGCATATTGCTGACTACACAATTTTTTTTATATATCAAAGTCAAAGAAAAAGATGAGCTTTTCATCATTTGGACCTTCTCTTTAGGGGAACTTTACTAAAACAATATTTAAATAAAAATTTGTAAATCTCTCTTTATTTATCATGCCTATTACTGACATATTTTTTTCCCCATTTTCTTTCTTTTGAAAGAAATCTGCAGTTGAGCAAGGTTCAATGTCTTTCAGTCCATTCAGCTCATATTGATACTTGACTCTAGTTGAGGAAAGTAATGGTAGCTCTGCATATTGCTGACTACACAATTTTTTTTATATATCAAAGTCAAAGAAAAAGATGAGCTTTTCATCATTTGGACCTTCTCTTTAGGGGAACTTTACTAAAACAATATTTAAATAAAAATTTGTAAATCTCTCTTTATTTATCATGCCTATTACTGACATATTTTTTTCCCCATTTTCTTTCTTTTGAAAGAAATCTGCAGTTGAGCAAGGTTCAATGGTGCAGAGCATGTTCAAGGTCAAGGTTGATTACAAACAGATGGACCCCAGCATTGTTCCCAAACTTTTCAGGGACAACAGCCTGACTGTCACTTTTGATGAGAACGGGGACATGGAGCAAACCAATAGGGTTCCATCTTACACCGTCCTTCAGTATAATGGGAGCCAGGTGAAGTAGTGTTTGCTTCTTGAAGTTGTTTTTTTTTTTTGGCGTAACTGATTTTTCAGATAAGCTAACTGGTCTCCATTATGATACGTCCATCACCCTATCCTTCTCTTTGTGGACAATAAAACCTCTTCAAAATCCAACCCCCCTCCCAATGTATGGTACAAACCTTTTTAAAATTAGCAGCACATATGATTACAAATAGAGTTTTTTCTGTACAATTATTTTACAACTGGTTGTTCAAGTGTCCCACCCTAAATAATTTGATTGCAAATCATTAATTGTTAATTTGTCATACCATAAAAACATTGTTACCATGTTCATGTTTTTCATTTATTATAATTATTGTAAAAAACATTGTATTAATGAAAAAAATGTGATGTCCTATTTAATTAAATCATTAAACACTAAGATTACTAGACCTAAATGTCCTTTTAAAATTTAATATTTTAATTTTAACAATATGCAAGTTTTTTAAGGGGAATAAAGTATTTTATCATCACAGATATTGTTACATTTGAGATACTGGCTACAGAAAGCTAATACTTAAAAGTCTAGTACCAGAGTCACAATATTTTAAATCTTTTCCCTAGTCTAGATACTTTCTGAATACAAACCAAAGACTTAAACAACACATCCCCATTTGTATCTATCTGTTTGTACTAAAATAGTGTGGCAACATCAAATGAATCATTACGTAAACATTTTCTAAATGTTTTTCTTCCTGCTGTTTATTTTGACAGTACACCCAAGTAGGCGAATACATCATGGACAACCTGTCCCTCAACACAGCAGACGTCAAAATGTGGACCAAAGACAGGACTGTGTCTCGGACCATCCCATCTTCAGTGTGCAAAGGCCGCTGTGACACCTGTCTCAGTAGAAATGTCATCCCCATTACTTACATGGAGGGGGATGCATACATACTTGGAGTTTTTTCCGCACACGAGTCTACAATAGGTGACCCATTCCAATGTGGAGCTTTTAGATCCCTTGCTAATGATGTTGTTGCTGCCGAAGGCTTCCTGTTTGCTATTAAAGAGCTGCGTGAAAAAACGGGTATAAAATTTGGCGCCATCGCTATAGATGATTGCTACAGCCCACTGAGGAGCACTACAATCCTGTCGGACTACTTTTCCGGGCTGTTGGATGCCGAACAAAATATTTTCCCATTTCGCATTCCTCGTGACAAGCTTGTGGGTGTGGTGGCGTGTCGGTCCAGTGGCTGCACAATACCCACAGCTTCCTTTTTCATGCCTCTCAACATCCCTGTCATCTCGTACGCTGCCAGCTCACCAGACTTAGACGACAAAGTGCGGTTTCCTTATTTTCTACGAACCGTCCCCAGTGATATCTTCCAGGCTCAGGTCATGTTGAATATTGTTAAAACCATGCAGTGGCAGTACGTCGGTCTGCTTTACGTGCAGAATAACTACGGAGCCAAGGCTATGAAAGCCTTCAAAGAATTAGCCGCTAAAGATGGTTCTGTGTGTGTCGCAGAAGAAATCAGCATCGGCGAAAAAGTTTCCGAAGATGACGGGAAAAACTTCTTCAAAATTTGGACCCACCTTACCACAATGCAGGTTAAAGTTGTTGTATTTTTTGGAATTGACGTCAGGTACCGCACATTTTTGAAATACCTGGAAGACGAGGGCCGCAATGGGAAATTTATATTCATCGGCAGTGAGGACTGGGGTAACAACAAATACATCCTGCAAGAATCTCCAAAGTCAGCTCGCGGTTCCATTACACTCAAAGTCGAGGAGATCAATCTAGAATCTGATTCCCGTTTTGGAACATACCTGCAGTCTAAGTCCCCCTCCCTGAATGATACCAACATCTGGTTCCCAGAGTTTTGGCAGAACATCTTTAAATGCAACTTTAAAGGGGGCTACATCAACACCTTTTCCAGGTAAATTTTACTTCACAGCTGTTATTGCTCATTTTATTTATTAAAACATTAAAGTACGACTTTAAACTTAAAAAACACATTGTGTTGGTGACCTGATTAAAGTAAAAACATGATTTTGAGACATAAAAGATAATTATACACTTTGTTTTATATTACCAAACCTTATCAAGATTAAGGAAATTTTGTTGCATAAAAAAATGTAGCACAGTTTTGTTATGAGATTTCTGGAATGGATTTATCTTTTCTTGACAGCGAGTGTGACCCATCCTGGAAGTTGAGCCAGGATGAGCTGACCAGCAGACTCAATGAACAGAGGTTGAAGCAAGTCATGAATGCAGTCTACGCCTTGGGCTATGGCCTCAGCAAGACAACTAAAGAGTGAGTACCACATGACCTTGGTATCTGTAGTGGTGGATTAGATGATGTCAGGGACACAAAGGGCATTAAGATTTGATTGGCTGGATCTGATGTCACTATCTCTTGATTAAATAATTACCTTTCTTTTCAATAGTTAATAAGAACTTTTTCCTATGAAACAAAAAGTGAAAAAAATAAATAAAAAAGGATAATTTTTAAATGATGTGTGGCTTTTTTAAAAAAAAAGGGTATATACTCACCCTACCCAACACTAGCATCTGCATGGCTGTTAAAGAAATTACTTAATTCTCTTATCTACTTCAGTACCTGCTTGGCCTGCTAAAAGAAATTACCTGATTCTCCTATCTACTTTAGTATCTGCTTGGACTACAAAAGAAATTACCTGATTCTTGTATCTACTTCAGTATCTGCTTGGACTACAAAAGAAATTACCTGATTCTTTTATCTACTTCAGTACCTGCTTACTCCAATAAAGAAATCACCCGATTCTCTTATCTACTTCAGTACCTGATTAGTCTACTAAAGAAATCACCTGATTCTCTTATCTACTTCAGTACCTGATTAGTCTACTAAAGAAATCACCTGATTCTCTTATCTACTTCAGTATCTGCCTGGACTCATTCCCCTGCAAGTATCTGAAGCAGGACCAGTACATGGACAAGGTCATGACCTACATCCAAGAACAGACCAGGGTTCAAGGTGCCCTCAACTACCCTGTCTTTGATAAATATGGCAATGGCGCCATTGGTTTTGATGTGTTCAGCATTCAAAAAAGCACAGATGAAGATTATATTTATGTTAAGGTATTTCCTTTTTTTTCTCTGTTATATATTGTATGCTTTTCTAAAGCTAGCATATTTATATTATAACTTCTAAAAATTATTATAACTTCCAGTCCTCAGAGCAAAGATTTTACCATTTTATATTTATTTTTTCAGGTCGGGACATTCAATTCCAAGACGACAACTTTTCAAAAACAAGATCTCAAATTTTACTCAGAAACTGGGAGCACAGTAACCACCATTTCAGCTGCCTGTACACCGGTATGTGGTTATCTATTTCTCTCTGTCCTGTAGATAGCATTCTCTCAAAATGGAATCTGATTCATTTTATCTAATCCTGACATCTCTTTCTTTCATACTTTATTTTTTTTTTCTCTCTTCTTTCAATTATATTATATTACAGATATTTTTATTGGCATAAGATTTTTACTTTTTATTGGGTGTATATTTGATTTTTTGTTTTTACTTTAAGCTAAATTTAGTGATATACAATGTATTTTCTACAATTTTTAAAACTAATTATGACTTAAATTTTTCAAAAGACCCTGTGTGCTCAATGTACTAAAGCAAAGGATGCAGTGGTTGATGTGCCTGTTGCAAGTACAACATCTAATGAATACAGGCAACCAGATATCCTGCTGATCTCCCTTGTTGCTGTTCTAATTTTAGCCCTGATAGTGACAGTGCTGATTGGTGTTCTGTGTTGTTCAAGAAAATACAAAGGTGATTCATATTTTTAACTTTTTTAAACTGCATAATGTATCATGAATAAAAGCAATAACCCATTTTCTCTAGTTGTTCTAAAAACATTTTATTTATATCATTAATTCATTTGGTTTAAACAAAAAACATTAGTTAAAAAAAAAACCATTGGAAAATATCTGCTAAAAATAAATATTAATAAAGTCAGGATTAAAAATATTGTTATAGATCTATCAGGTTTGGGTTGAATAAATGAAGGGGTGTCATCGAAGGTAGTTGGCCTAGAGGGGAGTGATGTCATCCAAACCTGAGTTGGTTGATTTTAACAATTATTTTTGTTCATTCAACAGTTCTAGAGAAGAAATTGGATGCTGAGTTGATTTTAACAATTATTTTTGTTTATTCAACAGTTCTAGAGAAGAAATTGGATGCTGAGTTGATATTAACAACTATTTTTGTTTATTCAACAGTTCTAGAGAAGAAATTGGATGCTGAATTGATTTTAACAATTCTTTTTGTTCATTCAACAGTTCTAGAGAAGAAATTGGATGCTGAATTGATTTTGACCATTCTTTTTTGTGTATTCAACAGCTCTAGAAAAGAAATTGTATGCTGAGTTGATTTTAACAATACTTTTTGTTCATTCAACAGTTCTAGAGAAGAAATTGGATGCTGAGTTGATTTTAACAATTCAATTATTTTTATTCATTCAACAGCTCTAGAGAAGAAATTATATGCTGAGTTGATTTTAACAATTATTTTTATTCATTCAACAGTTCTAGAGAAAAAATTGGATGCTGATCAACACTACGATGAGCTCCACCACCCAGGTAACGCAGACGTCAGAAGGCCCCCGTACGACGTTGACCCGTACCACTTTGAGAACAGAGACCTAGATCCCTACTACATAAGCTCAGGGCAAAACTTCTCCAAGGGATTACCCAACCCGACGTTTTTGAATGACACGCCAGAGTTTGTCTCTAATCTCTCTCGCAGCAACTCAGCTAGTCGCTCAAAAAGGTCCATCGCCAATTCTCAGTTTTCGAATCGACCTCTGCCTGGTAGCCCCCCAGGGGAGAAGCAGACCAGCGAGGCCCACGATAACATGGGCTATGTAGAGAGTGCATCAGAAAGAGGCTGGCCGACAAGATCAGACAACTCTCAAGCTTTTCAAAGCACCAGAGCTGAGTCTATACCAACAAGAATGATGTCTTCTGGACAACCCGAGGTTCTCATATCCCCAAGCCTAGATGGCGCTACTAACAAGGTGTATTTCAACAAAAACCGCAACGAACGCCCATCTGATTTTGTCAGGACCCAGAGCTACTCCAACCGCTCATCAGGACGTTCAACTCTTTCCTCTGCCCACCCTGAGTTTGGCCCGTACAGCGCCGCAGCCGCTCTTCAGCGCCGTAACGAAAGCATGAGATCAAACCAGCAGGCCCTTCCTTCTGTAACCGCAGACCAATACAACGACAACACTGGACTGGCAGAGATGAACATGAAAGCTACGGCCATCCCTCAAGAAAATACTCCATATGGCTCCTTCCTTAAGCAGAACAGCACAAGACCAGAATTTAATGAGCAGGTTGACCACACACCCGTACACTACGCAGTTTCCCCGAATCTAGCATCCACACAGCATGCAAGTAGACCACAGAACCCTGACCGGGAAATAAGTTATCACCAAGCGGACATGCAACATAAACCACAGCTTAATGAGGAGAGTAAGTACTTCGACAAGTTTAACCTTTCAGTAGAGATGGACGGGAACCGCTCAGAGAACTCTTTTGCTTCAATACCGGATGTCATAGGTCAGACGACACCCAACCGTGACCTTGACAACCCGTTAAGTCTGGAATCTGTTGACCTGACCTCCAGTAAAGAATCTCTAACTGACCTAACGGAAACCAAGGGAAAGCACTTTGAAAATTCGCAGCGCCCAATGAGATTAAAACATCTGACTGCGCTGGCGTCAGATGTGTAGGTTAGTAACTTGAAAAAGGCAACGTTGCTTAATTCCTTATACATTGAAAGACTTTTTCACACGCTTATTACTCAGAACAAAACTTAAACCTTATCACAGAGTAATTTGTTATAAAAACAAATTGTTGGCAGATTTTCATGTTTATTTAATACATAAAAATCAATTTTATATTCAGATTCCTCTTTTAGTAAGTACATCTCATTATAATACATTTTTCTTTTTCTACATAATTACACCCTATAAATGTAACAACAATATCATGTGTACATAAAATAGTTTGTAGTCACCAATCCAACATTCATACTTAAGTTTATGTAGAGCTCACATAATTTCAGTAGCATAGCAGGGGGGGGGGTGAAATCGAAATCTTGAAGAGGGGGGGGGGTGCAAATTGAAATCTTGAGAAGGGGGGAGGGGGGGTGCAAATCGTAAAAATGAAAGTTTGAGGGGGGGATACAAATTGAAATCTTGAGGGGGGGGGGTGCAGCAAATCGAAAGTTTGAGAAGGGGTGCAAATTTAAAAGTTTGTCCCCGGGCACCAGGAAGGGTCACTACGCCTCTGCATAATTTTAACACATTTTTTTTTCCTCCTCCCAAATAAAAGTCACAATTTTTTAAAACTTTCAACAACATGACCTCAGCTGTGCATGACTTGATTGGTGGAATTTCTGGTAGAACATTTACAAGATTTTTTCATACTAAAACAATGCTATGTTTAAATATTTATACCATTTTTTTTTTTAAAAAAGGTACCTTTCTTTGTTATAAAATACTTTCACATATTTATGAGAATTTTCAGATTTACATAATATCCTAAAAAAATGTAACATCTGGTTTAAAAAAAAAATATATTTTAATCCAAAACTCTCAGTAATCAGTTAGATAACACATTCATTTCTGTTTATATGTTTTATTTTAACAATCAAAATAACCCACAAATTGTAAATGTGTATAATAGTTTGTTGATCATTCTGACGGAGTGATGCAATGATTTGTTGAAGTTTAGTAATTTAAAGAGAAGGGATTGTTGAACTTTTTATCATTAGGAAAAATGTGAATCAAGTTGGCCTTCCTGTTGTTTTAAAACTTTACGTTTATCAGCATCATAAAATTGTTGTAAAATAATTTTTTATTTTAACCCTAATGATATTTGTAAAATTCCTTAATTAGGTGTCTATTTATTAATTGTTTGTTTTTAATATTAAGAGTGATGAGTGAAAAAATACTCCAGAAATAAATAGCAGTATCAACAAGTAACAAAATTAAGTGTTGTGTATGCTCTTTGAATATTGCAGATGGAAAATTGTTAATTAATTTTTTTTAGTAATTGCCAAGAAAGTGTATTATAACAAAATGCAGTTTAAGAGCTTTTTTTTATTGGCAAATATTAACAAATGCAAACTCTAATTGTTTTCATTATTTCTTTAACATTCCATATTATCACTATTAATGTTTGAACTGGATGCAAAGTTTTAGCAAATGTAATTTTTAACTTTACAAATAAGATCAGCCTTACTTTTGCAAATCTCATCAATGATTGGTTGGTTAATATATTATACTAACTTTTTCATCTTTCCTTTACATAAATACATTCCAGTTTTTAAAAACTTTCATATACCCCAAATGATATATACTTGAACATTCCTCGCCTAAAAATGATATGTTGTTAATATTTTTTTCTATTTCAAACTATATTTAATTAGAATTGTTGAATAGTTGTTCTGTCCAATGTAAACTGAATTATATTAACAGTTTCTAAGCTACTGTTATAATCAATGAAAAATGTGTTATGTTGATGTTTTGTTAAATCCTTAGCAAATTATAATCAACCCTTATAATGTGTATGTGCCTAATTCAGTATGATGACTAGGCCATGTTTCATTTATTATTTTCATTCTAATTCTATCTTTTTTAAAAATATGACTTTTTTTTTGGGAACATATTTTCTAATTTATAAGAGTGCCCTCCCTTGTAAAATAACTTTTTTTGTGTCCTGTAAATCTATGTTCAGAACTTTTATTCTATTTAAATATTAACATATTCACACACAAGATTGTTTAGATTTATTTTATATTCCTGCCACCATTTCACATGTACTCTGTGTTGTTTTATTTTTATAAATTTAAAATATCACAGTCAGAGAGGGCTGTTCTATTTTATCCTCACTGTTAGTGCTAAACAGTGGTCTCTCAATGTACTGCCATTCACACAAAAATCTGGTTTAACTCAGTTCAGTCGGTTCTGTACAGATCTCATCTACATTGTACAATCACAGTGATAAGGCAGCCTTGATGATTGTGATACCCCAAACTTTGTTCTATATTTTGTCTTGTTTTTGTCTTCTAGAAATTAAAATGTATTAAAAGAAAACATTTAAATTAGTTTTAAAACTTAAACAAACCAATAACCTAAATTGATGCTTTGAAAATAGGCTATAAAGTGTGAATTAAATTTTAAGAAAAGAATTAAAACTTGAAGAAAATAAGTAAAATACACCATCAGACTAAATGGTCCCTATGACAGATAAAGCTAATCTTTTTTTCTGTCCTCACCCTATGAATAAATAATATCATTTGTATTTTAAATAGCCAAGTTTACTTAGCCTGTCTTGAGTCAGGTACCCTGCAGGGGTGCCACTTTTCCGGGATATCCCGGATTTCCGGATTCGAGAATCATATTTTTTTCCCTTTCCGGATTCGCAAGATTTGAGTTTGAAAATTTCCGGGTTTGCAGTTTTAAAAAAAAATTAAGATCGTTTTAAGCTTGAAAATTTTGACATTGTAAAAATCGTTTTTATCGTCAACACTACCGCTAATGGCCCTTTCCGAAAAAAACGAATAGTAAATGACGTCACCAACAATCTCACCCGAGCACCATGGACCAATACTAATCGGCTGTATCAGATGGGTGTGGCTGCACTCGGAACTTTTTGATGTCATTCGTGGTGTGGCTGTCTGGCTATTTATGACGATATGGGTTGGGGCTAAAATTCGCATTATTTACGTGATGTCATCAATGGGATACCGCTAGGCTGTGTAATAAAATAACTAAGTCCTACCATTACTAGATCTAGCTCACTAGCAGCGCCGATCGTCTTAAAAAAAAACAAAAAAAAAACCAAAGATTTTGCTCCGATCTAAAAAAAAAATTTGTATTTGGTTTTACCAAAAGAAAAGAAAAAACTATTTGAAGGACTATTTTATGTATGCAAAAGTACTGTGCTGTTTTCACTCAACTTTACCGTCACTTTTTACCACCTCTTACCCTCTTCTTCAAGGTCGCGCTGACGGTAATACCTACGTCACGAGACCACGCGAGCACAGTCTGAGTCGTGTCTCTCGGTCAAGGCAGTTCTACAAGTACAAGCGCTGTTTAATTTTAACGTGGTTATTTTTAATAAGGGCCTACTTCTAGATTCAAGAAGAAAAAAATAGAACTGCATCGTTTTATATCATTAAACAACATGTGTAGGCCTGCTACAATTTAGTTACACGATCTAGCAGCGTCTACATGTATTTTTTTTTTTTACTTTGGTAAAACGTCATTGAAATGTTTAAAAAAACATGTTTGAGAAAATAGCCGCTATCACTGCCCCCTCCCAACCGCTTGTAAAAAAATACGCTTTTCACTTGGTCGGGCGGCTACATCTCTGATACGAGTATTACTAGCGTAGTTACTTCTAAAATTATTTTTAAAATTAACTTACTTCTGTTATTCCGTGATATGAACTAACTTAAAACTTCCACGATATTTCTTCACGTCTTCATGTATATCATAGGTGGGGACATTGGGGTCGTTCATAAATGACGTCACACTCGTAGGGGGAGGGGGGATCTATAAGCGTGTGACGGTGTGTGATGAGGGGATGGGGGTGGGTCAGATAGTGTGACATCACACTTTTGCATTATCCAAAAGCTATGTTAGAAAACGAATTTTAGCCGTTATTTCGCGTTTTAGAATATTGTTTCAATAAAGTGTAATAGGAATTGATTAAAATACTCTAAGTTGACAGAGGTCAGACAAGATTTTGGAAAAAATATCGTATTTTAAGAAATATCGTATTTCAAGAAAAATTCGACTGCAGTTATTTTATTTGGGGGGGGGGGGGGTTGTAGGCAGAGGTGTGACGTCATTTTAGAGGCGGGATCTGGCTTTTTTGACGATCTATGGATGACCCCATTGGGGGTTGATTGGGAAAACAGGGTTTAGGGTTTTTGTTGTGGTCTTGAATAGCTACAGTAAGTCAACCCTGTATTTAATACAGTGACAATCTCATTAGGGGTCGTGCACATAGTGGGTTTATTATTCAATAACAAGACATAGAGGTTAGCAATAATATTTGTTATTTAACAGTTGGCTGACTTCACACTTTAAATCAAGCTAGGAAGTTCTAAAAAATTAAATACTTGGATATGCTATAAAAGCTGGCAGGGGGGGGGGGAGTTCTAGAATAACACATTATGGGGTAGGCCTAGAGATGGGACTAACATTGTTAACTAATTTTGTTGTATGCACATCCTTTAAAGATTAATTTTATTTTTATTTGAAGCTTGTTACAAAGAAAATAAATCCATTTTAAAGGAATGTAAATTGAACATAATATGAGTCGTCTTAAAAAAAATAATGAAATAATAGTCCATTTTATTTTGAAATTCCGCGCGAAATTAAGTTTCAGGGTTTCAAAAATTTCAAATTTTAGTTTCAGGATTGGTAAAATTTTGGGATTCATTTTCAGGATTCACTTAAAAAATGAGTGGCACCCCTGGACTGGATAGGCTCAACTGATTGATCTGAATTCATGCTGTTGCAGGCTAGCACTATTTTACTCAACCATCATGTGCCATTTTCAAGACCATCAATTTTTGTTTATTGTTTGTTTACATTTTTATACTTGATCATTCGAACATCAGATTTGTTGATGAAATTGTGTTATCTTTTTATTCATTGTGGAGTATGATCCCATTGTTAGTTCCTTATTATACAGACACTAATCATGAATCTCTGTGTAAGTGTGCCATACAAAAGGTAATCGTGTCTCTCTTTTTATTGTAGTGTGTAATTACAACATTTAAGAAGATTGTAATCTCTTAAAAAAAGTACTTTTGGACATTTTATTTGTCAAGTTAAATAATTAAGATTTAAATGAAATGTTATTTAAAATAATTATTATCGATGGATTTTAATCTATTTTTGAATTCTGAAAATGATTTTTACTTATATATTTTTTAGATACTTTAAAAAAATTAGAAGCTAAAATTTATGAAAATAGCCAGTTTTTTGTTCTGTTGAGAAGTATAGCATTTAAACAATCTAAGCATAATAATTCTTA